TTCAGGGAAATATGGATTTCTGAACTAGCCACTTTTGACATAACTTTTCAAAACAATCAAAACGTTTGTTGCCCTTAGCTCAAAATTATAAAATATCATACTTAAGACACTTTATTTTTAAAGTTATGGAGCTTTGAAAATTGCCAAAACGATCAATTTGGAAATTACGCGCAGTTTCGTGCTGTAAACGCGTGACCGGATTTTTAAGGTGACTGAAAAAGCGTTTTAAATTAAACTGAGACAATTACTTAGATATTATAAAAAACCAATAGGCTAAAAAAATACATTTTGTATGTTGAATGGCGAAATAAAAATCAGAAAAAAATTCAAAGCTTTTTGAAAATTTCTTCTATCAAAAAATTTATTTCGTAGATGTTAAAGAGCAGTCAGAACATTTGGAGTTTGCGCAGTCTTTTGTTCTTTTTCTAATCTAATCTTGAAAAAAAAACGGTGTCAATTTGCGATATTGAAGCGGCAGCTCTTGTTGATACAGTTTATTAGTGTAATCAAGTGACAAATCTTGTAAGGTTTCATTTCAGCTAAAGGGAAGACAAATCAACAGGAATAGTATCCTGTATACACTTATGTAGACCGAAGGACGGATGTTGCGCAGTTCGGGTTGGGGTTTTCATTTTATTGATAGTGTTTCGTTTGAATCTCAAGCATTATTGGGTATCCTAAAAAGTATCCTAAAATGCAGCTATATATGGGAATCAGCTTCGTTCCAAAATATTATTAGAACTATGGATTGAGAAACGCAATGAGTTGTTCCAATGTTTGTTGATAATTGTATGATGACCATCGGTTGCATAAAAAATGGTAAATGGTTCCTTAAATTGACGCGAGCAATAAGCCACCTATGACTCTCAAAAGTATCAATCTTTAGTCTCAACCATTGCTCTCCTCTCCGACAACTACTGAGAAAACTTCGATGACATTTAATGAGTGGTTACAAAAATAAATATATCATTTATTTGATTGCCGCAAAAACATCGACCAAAAGTTAATGTGCTAAATTATACGTCGTTTAATTTAAAGTTTCACTATTTAAGTCTCAAAAGAATTTATCGCGACGGCCAAAACACTCCTACGTGAGTTTTGCAAGCAAGACTATGTGCCCAACAAAACGCTTGCTAGGAATCAAGATTATTTTTAGAAATTGAACTAAATTTGCTGATGAATGTTTTATTAAAAAACATTATTAAAAACTTGTACCTGGCCTTCCTTTTGGCAGATGTTAGATACTCTAAAGATCTGTACATACAAAAAAGTCCTGCGCATATCGGAAAACATTTTCAATTTCACAGAAACATGATCAGATGTGAGCCAGTGTTGGTCAGACTTGAATCGACTGGATACGCAGGCAATTGATTTTTTGAAACTCAATTTGGATCTCAAATGTTTTAACCAGCGATCAGTCACGGGACATACAGTGCTAATTTAAAATAGTTGGACAAAACGCATTAAACTTGAAACTTAAACTGCGTTTTTTTTTCAAAACGGGTTGTTTTTAAACAAAAAATGATGGGGACAAGACTTGCTCAGAATTTCAACAGAACTAATATGACGCAGTTTGTTTTGAAAATTCGGGCTCAAAATCTAAACCCAATAAAATATCAATTTTGGCTTTTCAGTCAATCAAAAATTACGTCAAAACTACCTAGTTGATTTTGACATAAGAATTTCAAAGTGAGACCGACAAATTTTAAAGTGAGACCGACAACGTAGACCGACAAATTTTAAGAAGGTGATAACCTCCAAATATTGTCTAAACTAATTTATTTTGTTTGACAGACATAAAAGTTTGTTAACGCCAATTATTCTTCCAAAAAATTTTTTTAAACATTTTGCGAATTTTTGCAGGAGAATGTACCCTTGTTAGAATTTGTTGGGTTACGTAAGAGGTTCATTTTGAGTTTTTTATGTTAATGATCGACTTGGTAGTTTCGGCGTAATTTCTGATTGACTAAAAAACCAATTATGATCCTTTTTGGGGTAAAATTTTGGGTCGCAAGACGCTATAAAAGTTTTAATGAAACTCTACGCAAACCTTGAACTCTTCGTTTTCCATTAAAAGTCAAACCTATATAAGAACAATGCATTCGAATTTGATGTGTTTTTTCGGGATAATTCCAATCATCACTATAGAAGCAACATTTTATTTTCAACGAGCGAGTGAAAAGTTTTTCTTCACGTTTTTGTCGTTTTTCTGCAATATTTTGAGATATAAGGTTTAATTTTCGCTAAAAAGTGAATACAACTATTTAGAAGGACTTACCCAGTTCAAGTTTGAGAAACCTTGCTTTGAACGCGTAAAGTAGCCAGTACATAACAACTAGTTTAGAGGTGCTCTTACTCTAGAAACAACCTCGCAAAAATTATAAAGAATTTGAATTTACGGGTTTAAAATTTGTTCCTCGTGAAGCTGATGAGCTTCAATTACTCTTTATGTCTTTATGTTGCCAAAATTTGGCAGATGAAAAAATTCAAATTGCCAAAATTACCTGGTCAGGCGCTGAGAACGGTCACATATACAATAAAGATCATGAGAGCTTATACAACAATTTGGACAAGATTTCCAAGCAACCTAACTGCTAATGAGAATCCTGTGCATGATTTAGAGATGTAATGTTTAAAAAAAAAATTGATGAGCGCTTATTTTGATGTTTCAATTCGATCATCAACGCAAAGTTATTCATAAATTTTAGCCGTTTTCCGATGACGAACCAGTAACTTTTTATTTCTATTAGCTGTCATTTTTTGAAGGAATAAAGGGTAACTTAAGCTCACCAGCAGCTTCCCATAGAACCAAATTAAGCCCATAAGTTCAATTTTTTTTTATTTTAATTGCAATGTTGTTTCCACAGCAAAAACACCTCTAAAACTAGTTATGATATACTGACCAATTTAAGCCTTCATAACCAGATTTTCCAAATTTTTGCCTGGCTAAGATTTTTCAGATAGTTTCATCTAAATTTGGTAAGAGTATGAAGTTTTTTATCTGAAATAAATGCAGAGGAAACGATAAAACGTGAAGAAAAAGCTCGTTCCTTTGCTTGTTCAAATAAAAAAATTGCATCTTCTATTTTTCGTGACTGTAACTTTGCTGGTCATAGTTTTGATATTAATACAGTTATGAGACTATATATATCAAGACGATTTGAAAAACAAATAAAGTTTAAAAATTCTGGTTAAACCATCCCCCTGAACGGAGGTGGGTTTATTTGACGCTTTTTGATTACCATACACAGACAACTTATAAATGAGAAAATATTGGCAAATTTGGAAACTTTTTGAACTTTTGAAGAAAAAAAAAGCTTTTTTACTTATCTCTCCTTATTTATTTTTCTTTTATAAAAGTTAATCACTTCGATTTTGTCCTAATGGAGCTAATTTTGGTGTGGTGAATATTTAATTTATTGGGAACCTATTTGCTTTTCATACTTTTCCTCATATGATGTCAAGCTCCATGGTAAAAACATGGTAATGATTAGAAAAACGTTTAAAAAATTCAATGGAGTTTTTAAATTGTCGAATAGTGCGAGTAGAAAACAGCCCGTAAATACCGCGAAAAGGGTATGTTAAAAAGTCCACCTTTATCCCCAGAAAGTAATCACGCGAAAAGCATAATTACTTTCTTTATTGAAAATTATCAAAACAATTAAAAATATATTTCCCAACAATAAGGTTTAAGCTCTGTTTTAATCTGATTTAGATCTGTGTCAGATGAGTATCAGTTCTGATATTTTACTGATCAAATATGCTGAAAATATTATCAATTCTGCGGTAGGTTTGTTTTAAGACAGGCACATGTTTAAAGTCCGTCGACATGATTCAGATCTGTGGCAATCCTGAAAAACCAACAATTTTATAGAAATGGAATCTGATTTCGAAGAAAAAATTCAGCACGGGTATTTTTTACCCCACAACTTAAGCCCTAAGAAATTTAAGTTTTAGTTTATAATGAGAAAAGGGCTTTACCGATTCAACAAGAACACACTTGCGAATGTCAAAAAAGTTTTCTCAATTTGGTCGCACTAGTGAAACTAGCGCTGGATGGGAAGTCGGAAAAGTTATAGAAAACATTTTGGTGAGAATATTATTAATGAACTTTGCAGTTTTTCAGCTTCCTTTTCAAGAGCACATTCTGGATTTCAACAACTCAGCAGCCTTATCCAATGAGATTCCACCAGATGGCGAATTGTTGTCATGAGTTGATATTTTTAGATTTGCCTGCTATTTCAGCAATGGGATAAAAAATAGTTTAACAAAGATGAAAAAGAAAAGCATGTCCGCTTTTTTAAATTTAGAATTGAAAATCATGTTTCTGTTTTAACTTGAAATTAACTCATGTTTCTGTTTTAACTTGAAATTAACCGAATTAATTTGAAGTTAATTTGAAATTTTTAGGCAAATCAACCCAATTTCCTATTTCAAAAATTTTGAAGAACAAACAAAAAAAGCTTCAAAAAGAGAGCTTTCAAAAAAAGACTTTAACAAAAGTTCGAAGAATTTTATCATGATTAATATCAATGTTTGTTTTTTTAAATCATTTTTTAAACTATAAATCACGGCCAAAAGGGCTGATTTAGGGGAGGACGTCTCTCCATTCGAGGATCCCCCTCGCCGTCCAAACTTTTTTACGGAATCCATTTTGCCTAAACGACCTCAAACTATTTCTACAGGAGTCTTTTACGAAAATAATTACTATTTACCAAAAAAGCAATGTTTTGATCAAAATTTTCAAAAAAGCCCGTTAACTACTTCGGTAATTTTGATGATGTCTTAAGAGATCTGAAGGTTTTATGATGTCTTAAGAGAACTTGGGAAATCTTTCTGGTTGAACTATAAAAAAATTCGTCTAAAAGTCCAACCCCCCTCCCACTTGAGAAAAACCCAGATACCATCTGATTGCAAAAACGGAGTTTAATCGGCCGAAAAAATGTGTTCACCCTAAAGACCAAAAAAATCTTTTCAGAAAAAACCAGCCGTGAGCTAACTTGGTGAGAGGGTATAGTAGAGTGGCTGTGTCGTCTAGTTTGACCTGTTCGTCCTCTAGGAATAGTATTCTATGTCTGTACAGTCTGGACTGGTTGGAAAAGTCCAGCTGCTCAAACTGCTCCTCCTGTTTCTTCAGATCCCCTATCGAGTTGTCCTCCACTAACTTCTTGGCCACAAACTCGCACACACCAACCAGCTGAAAAAAAGAGAAGTTTAAGTTCTGCTCGTGCCATATTTAAGACTAAGGATTCATCCAGAAGAGAAAAGATCACCAGTATTCGAAAAGTTCAGCTCTACACTGATAAGCGCGGATGCGCCTCTGATTCAGAATTACATTAATTTGCTGTTGGCTATTTTTCTGGACTGGGCAATGATGTCTCACCCTCAAGCAACAAGCACGGATCGTGGTGGGTCCGGCCCAATCATCGGAAATTATTCGATTCACTGATCATCGTGAAATATATTGAATGTCATTACAGTTCTTTCCAGTCAACAAATTTAAACACAGTTATTAATCTAAAACTGCTCTTCTGGGCGTCGGAAATCAATTTTCCACTCAACTTTGCACATAAAGATTGTTTGAAAAATTTATAAGCTCGGGTGGCTTTTTTCAGACAAACTTAGACGTTTCAACTGGAAAATCATCCTATAATATTGTTGCCTTGAGCTCAAACTGAGAAAATTATTTTACCTTTAATCATTTTAATAAAGTTATGGGGTTTTACGCTATTAAAGCGTAAGCTGAGATTTAATCCGTTTTATAGAATTCTTTCCAAATTGGTGGAAGCAGGCTGTGTGTCATAATTTCTACAACACTAAGAAGGAAATCTTTATTTTTGTGTTTTATGTGGCGTGTAAGGGGATGATTTGAAAGAAAATCTCAAAAAAAAAGATGTTTTTTGAAAAATTTGTCTGTTTTTTAAAGAGAACACTGCTCCATAGACCATAAAAAGAAATCAAATCGTTTCTCCTTCATACGAGCAAAACTTTTTTAGCCTTGGATAGGAGCAATCTTTTTGTAACACTTTTTCATATAACTTTACAAGATTTCTTTATTGCTGACCAGCCCTAAACCATTAACAATTACAAGCCTTAAAGAAAAACGCGCATGTTCAGAAAAAAAATTGATAATTTTTCCAAAAACATGACAGATTTTAGACATTTTTTTGCTAAAAAAAGGTCTTCATAGGTTTTTGGAAGAGGTATATTTTTTCAGGCTTATCATTACGAGGCCAAACTAAGCTTTTGTGCATTGTAAGAGGAATCCGCAACAAGCCAAAATCAGCAGATGTTTTGTGGAATCCGCAACATTGCTATTTTTCTGGTTCTTCGTGGCTGTTTTGGATTCCACGAGCAAATACCTAAAACACTGTGACGGTCAAAATCGCTCCAAAAGAGGCGAATATGCGGAATCCGCAACTGTATTTGCGGAATCCAAAACAATTTGTGGAATCCACAAACAAATAATAAGACAAATGTATAGTTCAATTGAGCTGTTGCGAAATCCGCAACTGTAAGCCTAATCTGCAAATTGTAGGAATCTACTAGATCAGTACTAGATTTTGATGAATACTGACCTAATTCGGTGACATGCTGTGCGTTGTGTTGCAAAACACTCTCAACCCAATGACTCCATGTACTGAATTTATTCGGTGTTGTATTTCCAAAATTTTGAAGGGTGACATCCACCGATTTAGTTAATTAATGTTTTGAGATTTGTTCGTGGTTCCACTGACAATGGTTAGGCCCTTGCTTTTAAAATCCGCATTGCTATAGATAAGAATTCCAGCTCTAGCTTTTAATCGTTCATTTGAAAATTCAGTATAAACAAAATTCGGAACCCGCTTACATTTGCGGATTCCGCTCAGAAATATTGCGGATTCCACTTACATCTGCGGATTCCACTTACCTTTTGTGGAATCCACTTACATTTTGGAACAGGTTTAAAGTTTTGTCTATGGAATCCAGGAACATACAGACACAAAATTGTGCGCCTATCCAGTGCAGAGTTTGGCCTCGTAATGATCGTTATATTTGATGCTTTGTTATAAGTGAAATACATCAATTCTATGTTTGAAGTTTTTTTTTTCATTTTTTTCATTCGTTTTTAATAGCAAACACTTCGCCATAGACTTAAAAATACAATCGAAACATTCAGGGCTTCGCGCTGATACCAGCAGTCTGGCTTTATTTCAGCTACAGACAACATAACATAACTTTGAAGTTGAATGTCATTAGCCAGTGGTCCATTTGGAATCTTTAAAATCTTCTCTGGTCCCGATTGAACGCAAGATATTATATGCATTTATCAGTCAACTATACTCACGTAAATGTGTCTTCTGATTTTTTGGATTTGTTTTCAATCGCACGGGCACAGCTCAAGGGATATTATCTTGAACCTTTGCCAAATTCGACCCTCGTTTCCGATGTGAATCGCGGCTGAGATCAAAATCCATCTGCTTCATGGGAAATGGATGTCAAGATAATTAAGAATGCGGAATCCTATATGGCTCAGATATTTCCGACCTAATACGGTAGTTTCGGCGTAATTTCTGATTGACTAAAAAACCAATTATGATCCTTTTTGGGGTAAAATTTTGGGTCGCAAGACGCTATAAAAGTTTTAATGAAACTCTACGCAAACCTTGAACTCTTCGTTTTCCATTAAAAGTCAAACCTATATAAGAACAATGCATTCGAATTTGATGCGTTTTTTCGGGATAATTCCAATCATCACTATAGAAGCAACATTTTATTTTCAACGAGCGAGTGAAAAGTTTTTCTTCACGTTTTTGTCGTTTTTCTGCAATATTTTGAGATATAAGGTTTAATTTTCGCTAAAAAGTGAATACAACTATTTAGAAGGACTTACCCAGTTCAAGTTTGAGAAACCTTGCTTTGAACGCGTAAAGTAGCCAGTACATAACAACTAGTTTAGAGGTGCTCTTACTCTAGAAACAACCTCGCAAAAATTATAAAGAATTTGAATTTACGGGTTTAAAATTTGTTCCTCGTGAAGCTGATGAGCTTCAATTACTCTTTATGTCTTTATGTTGCCAAAATTTGGCAGATGAAAAAATTCAAATTGCCAAAATTACCTGGTCAGGCGCTGAGAACGGTCACATATACAATAAAGATCATGAGAGCTTATACAACAATTTGGACAAGATTTCCAAGCAACCTAACTGCTAATGAGAATCCTGTGCATGATTTAGAGATGTAATGTTTAAAAAAAAAATTGATGAGCGCTTATTTTGATGTTTCAATTCGATCATCAACGCAAAGTTATTCATAAATTTTAGCCGTTTTCCGATGACGAACCAGTAACTTTTTTATTTCTATTAGCTGTCATTTTTTGAAGGAATAAAGGGTAACTTAAGCTCACCAGCAGCTTCCCATAGAACCAAATTAAGCCCATAAGTTCAATTTTTTTTATTTTAATTGCGATGTTGTTTCCACAGCAAAAACACCTCTAAAACTAGTTATGATATACTGACCAATTTAAGCCTTCATAACCAGATTTTCCAAATTTTTGCCTGGCTAAGATTTTTCAAATAGTTTCATCTAAATTTGGTAAGAGTATGAAGTTTTTTATCTGAAATAAATGCAGAGGAAACGATAAAACGTGAAGAAAAAGCTCGTTCCTTTGCTTGTTCAAATAAAAAAATTGCATCTTCTATTTTTCGTGACTGTAACTTTGCTGGTCATAGTTTTGATATTAATACAGTTATGAGACTATATATATCAAGACGATTTGAAAAACAAATAAAGTTTAAAAATTCTGGTTAAACCATCCCCCTGAACGGAGGTGGGTTTATTTGACGCTTTTTGATTACCATACACAGACAACTTATAAATGAGAAAATTTGGGCAAATTTGGAAACTTTTTGAACTTTTGAAGAAAAAAAAAAGCTTTTTTACTTTTCTCCCCTTATTTATTTTTCTTTTATAAAAGTTAATCACTTCAATTTTGTCCTAATGGAGCTAATTTTGGTGTGGTGAATATTTAATTTATTGGGAACCTATTTGCTTTTCATACTTTTCCTCATATGATGTCAAGCTCCATGGTAAAAACATGGTAATGATTAGAAAAACGTTTAAAAAATTCAATGGAGTTTTTAAATTGTCGAATAGTGCGAGTAGAAAACAGCCCGTAAATACCGCGAAAAGGGTATGTTAAAAAGTCCACCTTTATCCCCAGAAAGTAATCACGCGAAAAGCATAATTACTCTCTTTATTGAAAATTATCAAAACAATTAAAAATATATTTCCCAACAATAAGGTTTAAGCTCTGTTTTAATCTGATTTAGATCTGTGTCAGACGAGTATCAGTTCTGATATTTTACTGATCAAATATGCTGAAAATATTATCAATTCTGCGGTAGGTTTGTTTTAAGACAGGCACATGTTTAAAGTCCGTCGACATGATTCAGATCTGTGGCAATCCTGAAAAACCAACAATTTTATAGAAATGGAATCTGATTTCGAAGAAAAAATTCAGTACGGGTATTTTTTACCCCACAACTTAAGCCCTAAGAAATTTAAGTTTTAGTTTATAATGAGAAAAGGGCTTTACCGATTCAACAAGAACACACTTGCGAATGTCAAAAAAGTTTTCTTGCGCTGGATGGGAAGTCGGAAAAGTTATAGAAAACATTTTGGTGAGAATATTATTAATGAACTTTGCAGTTTTTCAGCTTCCTTTTCAAGAGCACATTCTGGATTTCAACAACTCAGCAGCCTTATCCAATGAGATTCCACCAGATGGCGAATTGTTGTCATGAGTTGATATTTTTAGATTTGCCTGCTATTTCAGCAATGGGATAAAAATTAGTTTAACAAAGATGAAAAAGAAAAGCATGTCCGCTTTTTTAAATTTAGAATTGAAAATCATGTTTCTGTTTTAACTTGAAATTAACTCATGTTTCTGTTTTAACTTGAAATTAACCGAATTAATTTGAAATTAATTTGAACTTTTTAGGCAAATCAACCCAATTTCCTATTTCAAAAATTTTGAAGAACAAACAAAAAAAGCTTCAAAAAGAGAGCTTTCAAAAAAAGACTTTAACAAAAGTTCGAAGAATTTTATCATGATTAATATCAATGTTTGTTTTTTTAAATCATTTTTTAAACTATAAATCACGGCCAAAAGGGCTGGTTTAGGGGAGGACGTCTCTCCATTCGAGGATCCCCCTCGCCGCCCAAACTTTTTTACGGTATCCATTTTGCCTAAACGACCTCAAACTATTTCTACAGGCGTCTTTTACGAAAATAATTACTATTTACCAAAAAAGCAATGTTTTGATCAAAATTTTCAAAAAAGCCCGATAACTACTTCGGTAACTTTGATGATGTCTTAAGAGATCTGAAGGTTTTATGATGTCTTAAGAGAACTTGGTTGAACTATAAAAAAATTCGTCTAAAATTCCAACCCCCCTCCCACTTGAGAAAAACCCAGATACCATATGATTGCAAAAACGGAGTTTAATTGGCCGAAAAAATGTGTTCACCCTAAAGACCAAAAAAATCTTTTCAGAAAAAACCAGCCGTGAGCTAACTTGGTGAGAGGGTATAGTAGAGTGGCTGTGTCGTCTAGTTTGACCTGTTCGTCCTCTAGGAATAGTATTCTATGTCTGTACAGTCTGGACTGGTTGGAAAAGTCCAGCTGCTCAAACTGCTCCTCCTGTTTCTTCAGATCCCCTATCGAGTTGTCCTCCACTAACTTCTTGGCCACAAACTCGCACACATCATCCAGCTGAAAAAAAGAGAAGTTTAAGTTCTGCTCGTGCCAAATTTAAGACTAAGGATTCATCCAGAAGAGAAAAGATCACCAGCATTCGAAAAGTTCAGCTCTACACTGATAAGCGCGGTTGCGCCCCTGATTCAGAATTACATTAATTTGCTGTTGGCTATTTTTCTGGACTGGGCAATGATGTCTCACCCTCAAGCAACAAGCACGGATCGTGGTGGGTCCGGTCCAATCATCGGAAATTATTCGATTCACTGATCATCGTGAAATATATTGAATGTCATTACAGTTCATTCCAGTCAACAAATTTAAACACAGTTATTAATCTAAAACTGCTCTTCTGGGCGTCGGAAATCAATTTTCCACTCAATTTTGCACATAAAGACTGTTTGAAAAAATCTATAAGCTCGGGTGGCTTTTTCCAGACTAACTTAGACGTTTCAACTGGAAAATCATCCTATATATTGTTGCCTTGAGCTCAAACTGAGAAAATTATTTTACCTTTATTCATTTTTTGTAAAGTTGTGGGGTTTTACAGATTGCAATATGACCAACTTTAGTCGAATAACGCGCAATATGTTTCGCGCTATTAAAGCGTAAGCTGAGAATTAATCCGTTTTATAGAATTCTTTCCAAATTGGTGGAAGCAGGCTGTGTGTCATAATTTCTACAACAATAAGAAAGAAATCTATATTTTTGTGTTTTATATGGCGTGTAAGGGGATGATTTGAAAGAAAATCTCAAAAACAAAAAAAAAACAAAGATCTTTTTTGAAAAATTTGTCTGTTTTTTAAAGAGAACACTGCTCCATAGACCATAAAAAGAAGTCAAATCGTTTCTCCTTGATACGAGCAAAATTTTTTTTAGCCTTGCATAGGAGCAATCTTTTTGTAACCAAGAGGTAAACACATTTTCATATAATTTTACACGATTTCTTTATCGCTGACCAGCCCTAAACCATTAACAATTACAAGCCTTAAAGAGAAACGCGCTCCAAAAAAGCATGTTCAGAAAAAAAATTGATAATTTTCCAAAAACATGACAGATTTTAGACATTTTTTGGCTAAAAAAGGTCTTCATAGGTCTTTGGAAGAGGTATATTTTCTTGCATGCTTATCATTACGAGGCCAAACTGTGCTTTTTGTGCATTGTAAGAAGAATCCGCAACAAGCCAAAATCAGATGTTTTGTGAAATCCGCAACATTGCTACTTTTCTGGATCTTCGTGGCTGTTTTGGCTTCCACAAGCAAATACCTAAAACACTGTGACGGTCAAAATCGCTCCAAAACAGCGAATATGCGGAATCCGCAACTGTATTTGCGGAATCCAAAACAATTTGTGGAATCCACAAACAAATAATAAGACAAGTGTATGTTTCAATTGAGCTGTTGCGGAAGCCGCAACTGTAAGCCTAATCTGCAAATTGTAAGAATCTACTAGATCAGATCAGTACTTGATTTTGATGGAATCCCAAACACCGACCTGTATTTGGGATTGATGCAATCCCAAAAACTGACCTAATTCGGCGACATGTGACCAATGAACCAATGACTCCATGTACTGAATTTATTCGGTGTTGTATTTTCAAAATTTTGAAAGGTGAAATCCACCAATTTAGTTAACCAATGTTTTGAGATTTGTTCGTGGGTTCCACTGACAATGGTTAGGCCCTTGCTTTTCAAATCCGCATTGCTGTAGATAAGAATTCCAGCTCTAGCTTTTAATTGTTCTTTTGCAAGTTCAATTATAAACAAAATTCGGAACCCGCTTACATTTGCGGATTTCGCTCAGAAATATTGCGGATTCCACTTACATCTGCGGATTCCACTTACCTTTTGTTGAATCCACTTACAATTGCGGAATCTAGAACAGCTAGCTATGATCGCTTGTTGCGGAATCCGCGATACAACAAATAAAATAGGCCGACAAAATTTACGTTACAGGTATTTGTACGCGGAATCCACGGAAGTTCTGTAATTGGAATCCACTTACATTTTGGAACATGTTTTAAGTTTTGTCTAAGGAATCCAGGAACATACAGACACAAAATTGTGCGCCTATCCAGTGCACAGTTTGGCCTCGTAATGATCGGTATATTTGATGCTTTGTTATAAGTGAAATACATCACTTCCTTTTTTACATAGCATTACGGGGATGATTTTCAATGTTTGAAGTTTTTTTTTTCATTTTTTTCATTCGTTTTTTAGAAGCAAACACTTCGCCATAGATTTAAAAATACAATCGAAACATTCAGGGCTTCGCGCTGATACCAGCAGTCTGGCATTATTTCAGCTACAGACAACATAACATAACTTTGAAGTTGAATGACATTAGCCAGAGGTCCATTTGAAATCTTTAAAATCTTCTCTGGTCCCGATTGAACGCAGGATATTATACGCATTTATCAGTCAACTATACTCATGTAAATGTGTCTTCTGATTTTTTGGATTTGGTTTCAATCGCACGGGCACAGCTCAAGGGATATTATCTTGAACCTTTGCCAAATTCGACCCTCGTTTCCGATGTGAATCGCGGCTGAGATCAAAATCCATCTGCTTTATGGGAAATGGATGTCAAGATAATTAAGAATGCGGAATCCTATACGGCTCAGATATTTCCGACCTAATACATCATAATCAAACTAGCCTCAAAAATGAGAACCAAATTGCTGCATTATTGGAATCTAAAGTTAAATTATTATGTTCTTCAAAGCCCTACACACGTATTGCAAGAAAACACGCAGATACAACTTGATCTCGTAATGTTGAACAAAAATTTTTGTTCATCTTCGGATTTTTTGGAATTCTACGCCTTGCCCCTATCCTAAAATTATTTCATGGGTTTTTTAATGAATGTCAGAGCAACAAACAGTATAAATCACAAAAAAATGTCTGCTTGATACCAAAAAATCCAATATGCCATTAAATTATACAAGAATGCGCTGCCGACAAAGTTTCTGACAAAATCTCAATTTCTATAAACTTTCAGGCGCAGAAACAATTCAGCCACAGCCAATTTAGCCGATTTCAGATACAGACAAGTCAGCCAAAACAACTCAGACAATTCAGCCAAAGACAATTCGGCTAATTTAGATTAAAGAAACTAGATAAAAAGAAAAATCAAAACTTTTCTAATTTGATTAGAGTCAGAAGGCTTTCAACACTTTTACTAAGAATTGCGGAACATCAAATAACAAATTTCAAAGATCAAAACAAACTTGCTCTGCATAATAAAGTTTAAAGAAATATGTAAATTAACGGTACAAAGTTTTAAATACTTCTGTATATGGTGTCGATTGTAGTTTTTTGCGTTTTGAACGAGTTTTCTCATTGGCGATTGAATACTTGGGCTTCGGTTTTCTGATACTATCAACGGACATCAGTCTCAATACTTTACCTTTGGCGTTTTTCGCTCATCATTGAAACGCGTGATCAGCTTGTGGAGGGCGGGGAGCGTTACCAGTGTTTGTGGCTTTTTCTCGAACTTCGTTAGCGAAATTTTTAGCTTGAATTTTTGAGGGACTTGGTAAATGAGCGTGCTCTGTTTTTCTGGTAAATTCTTGCTTTTTGTCCAAATAACCCACTGCTCTGCCATTTCCAAATTGTCATTGCCATTTAATGAGGCCGTTTTTAAGTTTTATTTTCACGGTATCTATAACCATCAAGACAAAAATGCCTTTTTTCCGCGTTCAGATAATACGAATTCTATTTTAAAACTTATCTTCTGCTAAAAGTGATTGAATGAGAATGATTCAGATACTAATCAACCAGTTGCTCAAGCTAGTTACTAATGAAGATGAACCAATGTTAACTGTGTAAATGGACCACCATCTCTCTGGGGGCGTTAAACCTGGTACTGGTTTCTGTTTGAACAATATTTTAATCTTAATTAGTTTATCTTAAAAAGAAGTCAAAGTTCAAAAATAGTTTCAACCAACTACCCAAATTACCTGATAGGCGATTGCAACATCCCCCGCCTAAGGCATGATAATAATATCAGGGTATCTGTGTGGCCAGTAGGTGGTAGGGGTGGTCAACCCTTTAACTGATATCGTTTTTGAACGCCTGTAAAGTTTCTAATTTTGGTTTGCTTTCGTGTATATTGGTTATTTTTTAAGTATTGTGCTTTTTTTTGTTAAATTCGATTTTTGTTTAGCCACTATTCTAAAATTGAAAACATAAAGGTTTGTATAAATATTTATTATGTTTAGGTACTTTTGGTTCTGTGAATTTTATTTGTAATATGTGCATTTGAAAGGAATTAATTATAAGTCTAATTAAAGCTTTGATGCTTCGCCTTATGTGAAAAGTTTTTGCACGCATGTTTTTAAACTCAAAAACTGTCTGAATAGTTTTTGGCCGAATTTTCTCACTCATTTTGACTGAATTGTCTGAATTTTCCGAGCAGCTCAAACACCAAAAAGACTCTCCTTCGTATGAAAAATCTCTTTTCAAATAAAATGTTGAGCAGCCGGGCGAAAAATGTCATTGTTGAGCAGCCGGCAAAAAATGCGGTTAGATTTCGGTAACTTTTGCATATTTTCAAAAGATTGTCTGGATAGAGGAAAATATTAGCGAAGCTGGGTTTTTTGGTGTTCCGGAGTAGCTCGGAGAATCAAATTTTTTTGTGCTTCCACGAAAAATTGGTAGATTTGAGCAGATTGAGCTTTTTGTGTTTACTCACTACAGCGTGAAAATGTGAGTAAATAGATAGGAGTGGTGCGCATCGAATAAAGCTGAAAATGAATACTCGTTTACATGGATAAGTTAATGCAAACCTTTGCCTGTTGTGCCTGCAGGAGAAGGGCTAGAGTGGCTGGCTCTCTCTTCATCAACACTCCCTCACAGTCCCCCCTCAGTCTGTCTATGTCCCACTCCCCCACCAGCCAAGTGAGCAAGTCCACATTCTCATCTATATTTTATAACTCATCGCATTACTATATTTTCAAAATTTCAGAAAAATCAAAAACTGTAAGGGAGTTGCACGTTTTTTGAGTTGAATTGTGGCTTCAAAGACATCTGAAAACAGTTTTAAGACGGCTCGGAACAACGTATGATGATCTAACAAATGAGACCACCTGTTTGCTTTATCTGGATTTGCCCGTTAGGCAACGGGGACGGGTGGAATCCCTCATGCGTGAAGGACTGAATGCGCAAAAATTTTGTCGACCAATCAGAGCTCAGTATTCAAAAATTCAAAAGAAATAAGCAATAATTTCCGTCAGTTTTGGATAGTTTGAAGGGCGTTGATTGGTTAAGAGTTTTCGCGCATTCGATCCTTCGGGGGTGAGAATAGCCCCGATGGGTATGCAGCAAAAACAGAGTGCAACTCAGTTTAAGCTCACCTGTGACTGGCTTTCTGGGCGGATAGAGACACTTGAGCATCTCCTTCACATTCTCATACTCCACCCCCTCCAAGGCCAATTCCTGCGGACGTTGGGGGTCCCCTCCTCTGGGAGTCTGTGGAGGAGTGTTTGTGCTGTTCTCGTTGCCTGTAGACTCATCCTGCTCTTGCAAGGCGTTCAGTTTCTCTCTCAGACCTGGACACTCCACCATCATCATGTCTCTAAATATATGCGCGCATTGAGATCTATTTTTAGAGTGGATACCGCGATACCTTATCCACAGCAACGGTTGCTTCGACTTTTATTAACATGAAAATCAGAATGGTTGTTTTACATTTCCTGATAACTTTTATCAATTGACATGGCTTCTGTTTTAAAACAAACTCTTGGTTTTCTGACAAAGTACTGGTTTTGTTTCAGACAAAACAGGGCTGATTAGTTAAAAATCCGGTTTTCAATTAATAAATTCCAAAGACAAAATCTAGGAAAACACTATGATATTTTTTTCTTGGAAAAATTAACTATTTTCAATTTAATTTGAACCATTTGCCGCAACGGATTTCCTTATAGTTTTCCTCTACCCCAGGCAAGTTTTTGAAAGAACAGGCCAAAAATTCCGACCTTGGGTACTTACCCGACTAATCCAAATAAGCCGATTTTGGAAAGTATTGACCAAAAATTGTCTTTTTGTTTCAGCGCACAACGCTCCCTCAAAAACTATACATCGCATGGCAGGCGCTTTCACAATAATTGAGGGAGCTTCAAAAACTTCCAGAAGGTTCGCATGTTGAACAGTACCAAAAAATTGCCTGCACTGCTGAAAAGTTAGGCAAAATCATAGTGTTTTGAGAGAGACCGTAAAATCAATGTGATCGCGCTGAAATTATCGAATCTTATTCGACCCCCCTCCCTTCGAAAATCATTAGATCCGCCCTTGGTTTGAATATTTAAAAAAAAATGTCTGAATTTAGAACAGGTACTTCCTCTAGACGGGTCGGGGAAGTATACCAAGGGAGATAGTTAATTATAATTAATTATAATCATTGTATTTATAGTGTTGATAACTATATATAAGTACCTGTGAACGTATAGTTTTTTATTCTCCACAACCAAAATCAGATTTGTAGTGTCTTCTGGCACAGAAAAATTAGAATAGCCCTGGTCGTCTTTGGCTGGTGCAGAAGGTCCCTTGCTTTGCCCCTCTTTCTTTGCAGCCGGTTTTTTGCTCATCTCGAGAATAATGTATTTTTTTTCTTAGTTTCGAAACTTATAAAAATTTCCAGTTGGAAAACTATAATTAGATTAAATAAACTATAAAAGACAAAAAAAAACTACGATATCTGATGAACAGCGAAGTAAAATTGTAGCTTTTAATTTTTGAAACGTTGTATTGTTTTTGGTATCAAAATAGCATGCCAGCACGTTATAAAATTAAAGTCAATCGAGAAAAAACTGTATAAATTACTACTGAACTCAAAGAATTTAATACGCATTGAGTAGCTTCAGATAAAAAAAATCAAGAAAAAAAAAGTTTAGTAAAGATCTTTGAAGTGCAGTTTAAGCCTTTTAGCCCTTGGGAAAATTTCTGAATATTAAAAACGAAAAAAATAATTTTGCTTCTTGACGGATGCTTTTTCATTGAAAATAGCTTAATGGGCGCTGAAAACTCGGAACTTTCTTAACGGAACTTGCCAAAAATCCGAAGTCGAGGAAAAATTTAAAATAATATGAAGTTGAATGATTTATCAGATTAGTCTTTTTCCAGTCCCAATTCGAGTTTTAATGATATTTAGAAAAAATAATTTTTCAAAACCGTTCAAATATGAAACGCTCAATGTGATAAATGAATTCATGAATGAGCTGCTGCATTGTAATTTGCTGTGTTACTATATTCTTACTTCCCGGGCCAAGGTTTCGACTTGATGTTTTGACATGCACGACCAAAAACGCAAATGTTTTGACCAGCGCGACCAAAAACCTTTGTTTCGACCAAGTTCGACCAATCCAGATATTTTCTGACCCGAGCGACCTAATACATCTATGTTTCGACCAAGTTAGACTTTATGTTTTGTGTTTCACTTCGAATGTAGGGCCCGCGGGACTATGAATTTTTGGGCGAATTTTGACATCTGGTTCGACCCAATTCGACTCTATATTTCGACACAGTTCGTTTTTATGTTTCGACCCAATTCGTTTTTATGTTTCCACCCAATTCGAATTCATGTTTCGACCCAGCTAGATTTTATTTTTTTATCCAGCTCGACATTGTTTTTACTCAGTTTGAATATACGCCCTGCGCACCGGTGGATTTTTTGTCGCACAATGGCACCTGGAAACTTTTTAAAAATATTTCCAAGCGAAGTTTTTTTATGTTAAAGTGGGTGATTGCCAATGCTGATGCAGAGATGATTAACACTATCCGAATAAATCGAATAAAAATAGAAAATTAAAGCGTATTCTTCTTGTATTGAACTGACTTTAAGCAAAAAACGATGTGTAAAAAAATTGCCTAAACTTTAGCAGAGTTATTATGTAGCAACTGTTTTTGCAAAAATCGGGCTAAAACTTGAATCCCAAAAAGTGTTCGTTTTTGATTTTCGATTCCATCAAAGAATTTATGACAAAATTTCTGGTTCAAGAGCTAGCAAACTACCGGAAAGCCAGGCCAACAAATTTTGCAAGACGTTTAATGTCCAAAAATGAGAACAAACAAGTGAATTCAAACAAAAAATAACCACTCGAGTATTTTGAATAGTCTTGCATGTTTTCACATCGCTGATGTTTCCTGTAAATTGCTATCCAATTGCTATTTCATCAATCTGTTATATAAATTGCTATATTATCAATATACTTTGGTTTATACCATAATTTTTTTCTATTAAAAAAAGTGGATTATTGGCGCTTTTTTGTTGCGCTTGTATCCAAAACAGCTTCAAGATTTAATGTGAACAAAAGTTATGCGTGATACCAGCTGGGTTGGTTCATCTTCCTTAAATATTCTACTTACCTTTCGATTTTTTCTAACAAATTTTGATATGCTTCGACTTTGTCGACCAAGTATTTTTTTGTTCCGACTTTCGATACGAAATAACGGAATATTTGTGCTCGGGATAGGTTTTTTTTCATCAGCCAAATTTCGACTTTTTAACAACCCGCATCCAGTTTCAAGCGTTAATAATTGATTATATTACGATTTTAGTACCAGTCTTACTAAAATTGAGAAGCAACCGATTTTAATCAATTAATAATCGATCATAATCTCTCTTTTTAAAATCAAAATATAATTAATTATAATGCATTATAATCGATTATAATTGATAATTTTTTGTCTATTTTGCGATACAATTATAATCGATTATAATTGATTATAATCCATTATTTTTATTCAAAATTCTAGTTCTTTAGTTTTGCACAAAAATCTATTATAATCGATTCTAATTGATTATAATCCTTTTTGTTTGTCCATTTTGTCTTCGAAGTTGCATCTAAATTGTTTTTGTTTTATGCTTTTTGTAGACGTTGGTTTCGATGAAAATAAAGAAAATTTTTTTAAAAGTTGTCCAATTAATTCAAATTTATAAGTATTTTTTTTTCATTTCTTCCCCGTTAGAGTTGTTTTGTGATGCATATTTTAAGCTTTTTTAAACACCAAAACATCAGCAAATTAATTTAATTTCATGTTTGATTTGGATGATTTGTTTTTCATTTACCGCGGGAACGTTTTCACTCATATGAAAGGATCTCTATGAAACTTTTGTTTCGTGGTAAAACTTTGTGTTCAGATGAACCAAAGTGTTCAAGAGATCTCTCTTTAGAGGTTTTCTTATTGAGACAAAAATAATAACCCACAAGATATAATTCGAATATATTTTCTAATTGACAAAGTTTCCGCAAAAAATAAGAGATTATAATCGATTATAATCGATTACAATTGATTTTAAGGGTTTTTTGTAAGAACTATAATCAATTATAATCGATTATAAGAGATTATAATCTCTTGGAAAATATCACGTTTATAATAAATTATAAATCCTTTAAACACCTAATTTTGTTTAACTGTAATCGATGTTAATTGTCAAAAAAGCATCATAATAATCCGTTATAATCGATTACTTACGCCTAAACTTGGATGCGGGTAGCCATTTTTGACGGACTTTTTTAAATATCATGCAAGAGATATTGTTGTCCTGAGCTTAAATTTGAAAAAATATTTTGTCTGTGATCATTTTTCGTAAAGTTATGGGGATTTAAATGTTGCCATTTTGGCCATTTTGGGACAATTAACGCGCGATATATTTCGCGCTATTTACGCGTAAGCGGAGAGTTAATCCGTCTTAGAAATTGTTCCAAATTGTTTGAAAAAAGCTTATTTGCCATAATTGATTTATTAAAAGGAGCAAAAACTATCCATTTGTACTTTATATGGCGTGTGGGGGGGATGATTTTCATTAAAAAAAATCAAATTTTAGAAAAAAAAATTTTAATTTTTTTTTTTTTTTCATTTAATTTTTCAATGTTATTACTGCTCCATAAACATTAAAAGGCCGTCGGAACATTCAGGGCTTCGCCCTGATACGAGCAGTCTTGTTTGATTTTACAACCAAATCGAAATAATACAATAATTTTCCAGCCCAGCTCAGATTTGATTTAAGCATGAGGCCAACAAATGCACCGTCAGTTTAAAAATCTATCACATTTCTTATTTTACGGCGGGTATCTTTGCTGAAGTAATTTTTAGTTCCAACAACAAATCGAAAAGAATTTGGTATTCGACTGTATTTTTTGTGCTCAGATTTTTTTATCATTCAAAATCAGTAACCCAAAAAGAATTTCAAACAGTGAGATATAATAACAAGTGGGGCTGGTTGCTTTGCAAGTAGCACAGAAATTTCCGACTAGAAAACACATTTGATTTTGCAAGCTATTATGTTTTGTACTCAAGCGGATCTAAGCGAACGCCTAGAGTTTCTTAACAAGTTTTAGCTTTGGATTTTGCCCCACACCCTTTTTTCTCCTCTCCAAATATCGATGTACGGTCGGTCATAACCGCACTTATTTTTTACGGAGTTTTTCCGACCGCTGCACCCTAATAACGCTTCGTCATGGCCTCTCGTAGTTTCTCGACTCGATTAGGAGACTAGGCGTTGTTTCCAGATTCGTTTTTCGGCTTCACCCTTGGTGGGGCTAAAGCGTCCGGCGCCAAAGTTACATTGACTTGTTCGAACACTTCTTGATCGGCTCCCGTTTCTGCTTTCATGGCCCCATAGGCTTTTTCGATCGCCGTCGTCCCTGTATTTACTTTTGTCTCAATTCTTTCACCTGCTACCTCGATCCCTGTTCCTAGTTCAATCCCACTTGCCTTTGTTCTGCGATGCTCTCTGCTGATTGAGTCACCCGTGGCGCTATCGTGGTTTCCAGTAACAATCGCTGCTTCACCATAGTTGGCAAATAGTCCACCATCCAAAACAGAAAAGTCCTCTAGCTCAAAGCGTCTCCTTTTTAATTGTGTTCCGGTGCTAGTTACCATTTTTCGATCATCTATTGAAGTTTTTTTCCACGATTTTTTTGCATACGTCCTGGGATGTCGGCAATTCCAGGATAGCCCGGGGGCTCGTTTCTTCGGCGTAGTGATCTTGTGCAAAGTACCTCTAGAATTCCTAAGTAAACTACCCTTACTCATGATTATGGTGCATGCGCTTTGCGCTAAAATTATTGATTTTACGAGTTTTGTAAGTGTATAAGTTTTGTACTCCCGGGTCGAGATCCCGCTCAAAAACCGCTCAAGATATGAGCGGTTTGAGCGGTTTTTCAGCAAGATCTGAGCGGTTTGGGCGGTTTTTTTGGAAAACCGCTCAAATTGCACAAATCTTGCTCAAAAACCGCTCATTTCTTGCGGTGATTTTTGAACGGTTTTTCAAGCAAGATTTGAGCGGTTTTTAAGCGGTTTTTGAGCGGTCTTATAAAGAAAACCAATTAAAACCAACAAAAAGGCCTGGAAAAGTAATGTGACGCTAAGATGCAGTTGAAATACTATCTACAATTTTTAAAAAAAGTGCTTAACCGTTCTCAACTCAAGCAAGATTTTTCAAATGCTCGAGCAAAATAACCACTGGAAATTATGTAAGTATGTGTGTGTATGTATGTATGTATTTATGTATGTATGTATGTATGTATGTATGTATGTATGTATGTATGTATGTATGTATGTATATATGTATGTATGTATGTATGTATGTATGTATGTATGTATGTATGTATGTATGTATATATGTATGTATGTATGTATGTATGTATGTATGTATGTATGTATGTATGTATGCATAAATTTAAGTATATTTGTATCTATGTATGTATGTATGTGTGTATGTATGTATGTGTGTATAGATGTATGTACGTATCTTTGTAAATATCTATGAATGTACGTATGTATATAAGTA